ATAAATTCTTCCAGAACACAGCCACATAGCCTGAAAAACCCACAAAAACCTGTGGAGGCCAGCCATGAAAGCCTTTGACTTCACAGTGATACCTTTATTGGCCAACCAAAATGCACAATATACATGTTGTAGGCTTTTGAATGCCATCTAACAGCTCCTTTCTTGGGGAGCAGCTATCCCCAAGCACCACTATCTGGCTTCTTCATCAGGCAAAGTGTTACAAACCAGATTGGAGAAAAAAAAATTGAAGATGTACCATCTTAACCTAGAAGAGAAACAGCTAAATGCAGGCCTATGATTAACATTTTCATTTTTTTCTCCTGATTGGTTTGTAACGCCTTGCCTGATGAAGAAGCCAGTGAAAGCTTGCAACATGTATATTGAGCATTTTGGTTGGCCAATAAAGGTATCACTGTTTGGTGGATTTTTGAATGGACTTACTATATAGCCAACATGGCTACCCCTGGATATATCCTTAGCTGAAAGTTATTTTTGAAAACATAGAGAAGTATATTTGGGTGTCATCAGTATACCCATGCCTCCAGATGATATCTCCCAGCAGTTTCATGTAGAGGTGGAATAGCACTGGGGGTAGAATGGCACCTTGTGGTATCCCATCTAACAGCACCTTTTTTGAGGAGCAGCTATCTCCAAGCACCACCATCTGGAACCTGCCTGAGAGGTAGGATTGGAACTAGTCCAACACAGTGCCTCCAATTCCCACCCACCCCACAGGCATTCCAGTAGGATACCAGGGTTGATGGTACTGAATGCCACTGAGAGGTCCAAAAGCACCAACAGGGACACGCTCCCCCTGTCAATACTCAGGCGAAGATCATCCACTATGACGATCATAGCAGTCTCAACTCTATATCCTGCTCTGAAGCCAGCCATAAGTCAGAAATGACTTGAAGGCACACAACAACAAAAACAAAATGTACACTGTACAAAGTTTAAAATATCATTAAACATCCAATAAAATTAAAAGTATTATTTGTTTTGCTGTTACATTCACTTGTGGAAATGCATTCTGCTAGTGGAGTGTTCTATCAGTGTATCTTGGTATTTTCACAGATATATCTTTTGCACCAGAAACCTATAAAAGTATGTCAAGGCATGAGACCTTCACCAAAGCCTATAGTTTTTTAGCCTGTGGAGCTGAAGTATATGATTGTGCCATAAAAAATTTAATTGGTAGGCCTCACTTGATTAAAAAAGAATCTCCGTTCTAATGCCTCAACATCTTTACTATGTCAAGAATAGACACATAGAAAACAGATATTTCCCACCTAGTGTCAGTCAACCCCTTTACCCTGGTGCTTCATAAGTATTTTATGACATCTTTGGCTTATATTTTATTTTAAAGAAGAATTTTGTGAACATTTAGTAGTCCAAAATCATTTTCTAGTCCTGTTGTGGAAAAAGCATTCTGTCACCAGACGAAATTGACCTTACTTTAAGGTAGTGACATTATGAACTGGAATAAAATGTTTATGGCTCTAACATGGTTCCCATACTACACAAGTATACACTTTTATACCATTTTAAGTGATATGGCTCCATCCTATAGAATCCCCAAATTAGCAGTTTTATGAAGTATATAGATCTTTTGCCAGAGAATTAGTGTTTCACCAAGGAGTACCTAGAATTTAGCCATTGTAGTCAAAGTGGTATCAAAGTGCAATAATTGTTAAGCCATGTTTCTAAATCAGCTCACCTTGAGCATATGGACTGATGCTAAGGCTCCAAGCATTAAAGGATTTAAAATGAAATAAAGCCTTAAAGTAAAATAAATATGAACTAGGCATCAGTTGACACAATCAAAAGATAGCAGTGGATTTTTACTGGGGTTAAGTTGTAGATTTTTATATATTCTGCATCTGTTTCAGAATATCTCTGTCCTACTTCACAATACTGTCATGTTTAAAATTTGGCACTTGGTGTCACTATCTTGTTGCCATACCTAACAGAACTACAGAAGAAACTAGTTAAAAAATAAAGCGCTTGCTCATACAGCAAACAAAAATTGCTCCTGAAATTCAGTCTTTATTTTCTCAACTGGGAAAAAGGATCTTGATTTTGTGCATTTTACACAAATCAGCACCTATGAGGGGAAATCTGTACACCTTGGTTTATATCAGGGGCAGGAAACTGCTAGTCTTCCAAATGATACTGGACGTCAGCTCCCAGCAGTCCTAACCAGCATAGCCTACAATCAAGTATAAGAAGTGCAGTTCAACTACAACATCTGAAGTGGTGGTGTCACAGGTTCTTTATTTTGGTATTTTATTTGTTTGTTTCCAACTTATGCTGACCATAAGGCCATAGGGTCTTATCATGGGGTTTTCCTGGTAAGATTTGTTCAGAGGAGGTTTGCCATTGCCTTCCCCTGAGGCTGAGAGAGTGTGAATTGCCCAGTTACTCAGTGGGTTTTCATGGCTGAGGTGGGAATTGAACCCTGGTTTCCAGAGTCATAGTCCAACACTCAAACCACTATACCACGCTGGCTTTCTTATCTTTGGTATACATGCTAAAAATGTATTGTAGAAGACTGAGAATAATAAATAAATGTGCTCTACTGATGGCAGTTGAAAAACGTTTTCTATCAGAACTGAGCAGAAGGAGCTCAGAGGGGTTAAACAAAATAAAACAAAAAAATCATACTGGTCTTTTTGCTGTTTGTGCTGTGACAAAAATAAAAATAAAAACCTCACAGTAGCTGGCCATTTTAAATAGTCACAAGATACCTTTTTTTCACAGAAAACATGAAAATATCCTTTACCTTACACTACTCCTGCCTAATAGTAAGGCTGGTCTGAGATAGATCAAACCTAGTAGTGGAAAATGAGAACACAAGTGAATTGGATAGATTTGTACTTCCTTAGCTTCTATAAATGGGGTGTGAAATATCTGGTCTTTCAGATATTCTTGGACCTAGCATTCCTTGCCATTGGCAGTGTGTGTGAGGGCTGCTGGTCTTCCAGTGCTATAATGTCTGGAGGGCTGTATGATTCCCACCCCTGCTCTACAAAGACTGGCAACCTTTTTCCTACTTCAATATCAAGGTGCAGGAAACACTGTGATATTTTTCATTTCTGTCTATTTCTCATCATAGTTAGCTGGAAAAGCAATTCCTCTCCAGAGGTCCTGACTTTGGGAAGATTAATTATGGGAAAGGGTTGTAACCTCTTCACCATTCTGTCCCATCAGGTCTGCCTCTCACTCCTGGCTCTGTGACTGGAACACCATCAACGAAAAGATGAGAGATTCCAACAGTTTGGTGTCTTCTTTAATGCTCAATAACTACTACTGCTGTGATAAACTGCACAGGAATCTGTTTCACACAGAAGGAAGAGAGAGATTTCTAACAAGCTTTGCTGTGCAAATAGCCAGCAGATATTGGCAATGAACCAAAAGAATGAGATGGGGCAGGAGCAGATGAGATGACACCTCATTTATATAGACTTTAAGCCCAGCAGATGGTTTTTAAAGACTTTTCTTTTGGTAATGGTGGATATTACACTTTCCTCTAATTTATTATATTTTAAACAACTTTTTATTAAATGCTTTTTCAAAATATGATCACTTAATTGTTTGTGAATATTACGATTTCAGCTGTATCATATTTTACAACACAGAATAAGTACCTTGGGTCTTATACTGGGATCAAGAGAAATAAAAATAAAACAAAGTAAATATGAGATAATTAGATAAAAATGAACCAGGGAGTTGGCACATGCATCATTCTCACTATTGCATTGCACTTTTGCTGGCTTTCTAGCTCTTATCAGCCCATTTTTCTTAAGTTACTGTAGTGAGGGATCAAACCTTTTTATAATTCTATCCTGCCCTTTTCTCACTGAGAATGGCTGTATTTGCTCTTTGTGGCTAATTAGGAGAAAGGGGCATGTCACAAACTGGACCCTAGAAGGCAACACAGATTAGGCCCCTATGAGAGTACAAAGACTCTATTTGGGGTCATCTCTTCTCTCTGAACTAGTTGTATGGTTATGGAGGTATGACAAGGATTCTGAGTGCCAGTTATATTACCTTTCCATTTTTCATTGCATTGTCATCAAAGTCACTTCTGCATTGTCACTAACCTTAGGTTTTGCCTTTGAGAGCTCATATTTCCATTTTGTAGGTGTAGAAACTGAATCCTAAAGCTCCTACCCCACAGTTGTTGTTAAGTGCCCTCAAGTCAACTCTGATCGTGGGTGATCCTGTGAATGAGGCATCTTCACGACTCTTTGCTGTGAGTTTTTTACAAGTGCACACATGTGAACTGTGTTTCAGTTGAGGCTAGGCTCTGCAGTGTCAACATGGCACCCAGCCATCACCTCATCAGAGCTTCAAAGTAGCACATTAAAATAACAAACATCATCATTTTCCCTTCTGTTTCTTTCTGGCATAATGAGAGTATTGCAATGATAATGTATCATAATTCTTATGATAATTTTTAAAGTAACAGGTAACACTAATGTGTTACTTATTTAAAATGTATTCTCTGCTCTGAACCTGATCAATCACCTTCACTGCATGACCAATATGGAATCACTTCAGTGAATATTGCCAAAGCTCTGTATAGGCATTATTCACCATACTTTTCTTGCTTTGTTAACTACAATTCTCAAATTTGGAGTGCTCTCCAAACCTGTATCAGAGGTTTGCAATTGTTTTACAATGTTAAGCAATGCAAACCTCACATTTTGCAATGTGAGAAACAGAACATCAATTGAGAATTGAATCGAGAAACAAAACATCAACTTGGGGTGCCTAGCAAATATTAAAAACCCACCATTGTCCAATTTGCCCAGAAATTGTACCAAAGTTTTGCAATCACTTTGCAATGTTTTGCAGCAGCAGCAGCAACAACCACCCTCAAAATGGAATACATGGTGTCTCAAACCAGGGGTCCTAGTTAACACCCCCCAGACTCCAACACTGCCTGGTTCAATCCAGATCTGTGCCAAAGTTTTGCAATGTGTTGCACTGGGAGTGCTACATTTTGCAATGCCTTCCAAATTGAGAGACACCTCAAATTACAGTTTTTTTATTGGGAATCTTCAATATTGGATTTGGGGGCATTAAATAGGAATTCTGTGTTGAGGTGTCCAGTTCTCAGTTTTGGGAGTGTTTCAAAATGTAGGTTTTTCATTGCAAAAATGTTGACAAATGACTACAAAACTTTTGCACAGGTCTGAAGGCTATCCAGATTTGGAGGGTTATAGTTTTAAAAGTTCACTTTCTTGATTGGACACAGAAGAGTGCCTAGCCCCACTCACCTCCACCATCAAATATCCTTGTGTGGGTGCATCTCAAAAGGAGAAGTTCCCATTCATGTGAAGGTTGTTCAAACCAGCAAAAGCTCTGGAATATCAAGGGTCTTGAGGTATAAACATTTAAACACTGAGGCTACTGTGCAAAGCCTCATCTGAGTTGAGAGAAGAAGAGATGCAAGGGGTGTGTGTGATAAGAGACTGCATTACTGATCTGTTTTATGCCCTTTTATTGTCCAGCCTGCTAATTATATCTTTCATTTCCTTTTAAAGACTGGAGTACATAAAGACTGGAGTACATATTGCGAGATAGACACCAAAATTGCAAGTCTGTAATTATCCTTTGATCTTTTTAAAATCCACCGTATGAAATTTGAGATTCTGTGCTATTTTGTGGAAATACTTTCATTACTCTTATTGTCACCACAAAAAAACAAACCCTGTTTACATTGTAGTACTCCCAGAGTTAGATCTTTAAAAGGAACTATGGCCCATTATCTTCCTGGCTTGGACTTATAATAGAATGTGGCATGATGGAGGAAAAGACCAAAAGCTTTTACCTAGGGAAAAGGAGTATCCCCCCCCCTTCCTTCCTTCCTCCCCATATCAAATCTGTAGATTACAGGATTGGAAATTCTGGCAGCAAAAGAATTTCTCTTATTTTTTTAAATGGAAGGAGGTTATAATGGAGGTTTTCCCCCCAAAGGTTTTATTGTTAGAAAAATGTCACATCACAACTGTAGCAAAAGTATAGAGTCAGTCAAATTGCAAGCATACTTCACTCTAGGGACAAGGGAGAAACTGTACAATCTTTCTGCTGTTTGACAGCTTCAGTGATTGCATTAATAAAGGGATCTAAAAATAAGGAGGAATAAGCTACATGATGCCATATCACCAACTGCACCAACTGCAGTACCCTAGCAATTGGTTCTGCATTGCTACTGGCCATTTTTACTGAACTTCTCAGTTGAGTGAATAAAGCCAAACAACCTGTAAGGTTTATGGAAGAGCACTAGGTTTTGCTTAAGAGAGGCATACATTATGGAGAGCACTAGGGTGTTTCTGTTGTACTCTCTGATATCTTTTAAATATTGGCTTCTCTTTTGCTTTGGGGTTATTTTTGTCTCCTCAGTTTGAAAGCTGTTCAGTTAATATACACAGGGACTGATTCACTGCATTTACATAAAACAGCATTACATAAAACAGCATTACATAAAACAGTAGTGATGCATCACAATTATATGTGCAAAAAAGGTTGCACCACACTGAGACATCATCTGTATGCTTTCTTTTTTGATTTCCTAGTTGAAATAAGTTGCTTGGCCATATGGATAACATTCTTTGCAATTGATAATAGACTCCTTGCAATTGGCAGTGAACCTGTAATGACACCTTTAAAATATTAATATGATGTGTTAGCTAGAGATGATGAAATCCCAAGTGTGTTATAGTGTTTGAGCATTGGACCATGACTCTGGAGACCAGAGTTCAAATCCCTGCTTTGCCATGTAAACCCACTGGGTGACCTTGGACAATTCACACTCTTTCAGCCACAGAGGAGGGAAATTGCAAATCCCAGCTGAACAAATCTTGCCAAAGAATCCTGTGATAGTTTTGCCTTAGTGTTGCCATAAGTCAGAAATAACTTGAAGGCACACAACAAAACAAACAAACATCACTCAACTTTGTTCATCAAACTTAAACTTGCATGAAACTGGGCATGAGAACTACACATTTAAAAAGTGAGTAATGTATTAACCAGCAGAATTTAACAGCCCAAATGATTTCACACCTCAGCCCCACAATTATGAAATATTGGCCTTTTGTAATAATCCTTATAATGGTCTTTTGACAGGTTGGTTGGTGTGGACTTTTACATCCATATTACATTGCATCCATACTGTGAGTCACCTTCTAGGTTGGGCAAGTCCTGATGGGCCATATTTTGTTTCTGTTTTTCCTTTGTTTATGTTTTGGTGCATTTCTTTTTTTGTTGCTTTTTTGTTGCTTAGTAAATTTTCCACACTCAGACTTAAAGCTTATTGTTACTCCTGACCAGAATGGTCCCATTAAATCAATGGGATTTTCCTTCTTGGTAATGCACTAGGCAGCAACTAATTACATAAGTAGCTGGGATTAACCAATAGGATCTAGGTCACAACCTCGTATTAATTTTATCCCTAGTTCTATGCTATCCTGTATTTTGCAAGGAAACAAAAGCAGGCAAAG